GAGGAGCGGACGGGGAAGGCGGGCCGGGTGAGTAGGGGGCGCGGGCCGTGCGGCTGAGGAGCGGACGGGGAAGGCGGGCCGGGTGAGTAGGGGGCGCGGGCCGTGCGGCTGAGGAGCGGACGGGGAAGGCGGGCCGGGTGAGTAGGGGGCGCGGGTCGTGCGGCTGAGGAGCGGACGCTTCGGTGTTTCTTTGGCTACGGGTCACAGTCCCCCTCCCCCCTTCCATCTCACTCGGGTTCAGCTAAATTCTGTTCAATTCATCATGCTGTGAAAGCTGCCTGAGCCTGAGGGCAGCAACAATGAGTGACTGTAAGTAATAAACAATGAGATTATTACTTACAGTCACTCATTGTTATTGTAAACAATGAGATTACAATAACAATGAGTGCAGTAGCAGGAAGACTGTGGAAGCGACTCAGTGACGCCGATTACGTGGCTCAGCACTGCTTGACTGCTTGTTGGGAGCAGGCTGGGACTTGCTGATACGGGATACGCTGCCCGTCACACCGCTGCCTGCTCACCCAACAGCCTGGGATTGCTTTTTACGATGCTGGAGTCATTTCGGGAATGACAGAGTTGAGTCTGGTGGTTTTATTTGAAGTGTGTCACTGTTCCTCCCTCCATTTTTATTTGACAGGTTGTGCCCGTAGAGACCTGTCTTCAGTCGGGACGCATCTGCACTTGTTTCACCCTCAGGTGAGTCTAATTCCCTCTTGCTCCTGCCTGGCCCCCAGAATTGCACCCCCGTCTCAAAGACAATGCACCAGCAGGGAAGCAGGGGGGGTCGGCGCCCCGCCTGAACAGACTCAAACAAAGACAACTCTGTCTGTCCCAAATTCCCTGTCCTCTTTTTATTATTCCATCCTCCTTACATTCCATCACACATTCTTTGCTATTAGAGTACGCTGGCTGGACAGACCAGCCTCACTCTCTGTTCTGTGGCTTTGACAAGCTTCCTTTGAGTGTGTATAAGCACTGAGGTCCCTTCCTGCCAGCCCTGAGCTTTTGGAGATGTGTAAGTCGGTCACATGAGGATCCTGCAGCCTGATCTGCCAAGCTGCACAGGTGCTGCTGTAGGTAGCGATAGGTGACTCACCGCCAGGTAAAGCATGGTGTACATGGCGAAGGAGGCGTGGCCTGAGAAGAAGGACTTCCTGAAAAGTAGGGCAAGTGGTTTCACAGCAGCTCTGCTCAGCCACATGGTCGCACAATCTTCTAGAAATACGACACATATAGAGCAACTGACCTGGCCTCCTCCACCATCGCATGGTCTGGCTGCTTGCAGGTGATGTGGGGGATGTACGTCCCGACGGTACAGTTCAGGGAGGTATATGTGATGTTGCACACCGACAGGAAGTGTGGCCTCAGGCGCCCCACGCACAGCTTGGCCACGTTGGTCATCGATTGGCCGACGCAGCAGCCAAACAGGAAGCTTCCCAGCTCCTTGTACAGCGTAGACACGTAGAGGTTCCTGACAAAAGCACGAGACTTCACGCCGCAGAATCGGACGCGGCAGCACTCACCCAGTGCGATCTAGGAGGGGAGGGGAACAGTGACTCATCAGCATCCTGATGGCATCAGTATCACCATCTACAACATTCAGCTAATCATCATCATCATCATCTTCATCCGCTTCATCAATACCAGCTTGACCAACATCATAATCATCATCATCATCACCAACACCAACATCCTCATCAATATCAGTATCATCACCATCTTCACCATCTTCACCATCATGATCAGCACTAACATCCACATCATCAGCATACAGCACGCCACAGTGAAGGTCCAGACACCCGTGCCCCCTTACTGTCAGCCCCGTGATGATGATGCCCCCAGCGATGAGAAGCCCGTCTGGAATAGCCTCACTGTCCAGGTACGGATAGGTGATGCTGGAATCCCCACAGAATAACCCTCTCTGGTACGGGGTAACGGCCTTCAGCTCGCAGGCGAAGAAGGGGATGGATGCTACAGACAGACAGACAGGCTCTTTACTGTCATTATTATTATTATTATTATTATTATTGTTATTGTTGTTACAGTACAATAATATACATGTAGTATAATGAGAAAGGACAATCCCTGTTTAGTGGCCTATAGCTTGACCCTATATGGGTATGGGCTTATTGTGACATTGTTTTCTCTTTGTCCTCAAAGTACCTTAAATGATAAAACTATTTTCTGTTATATTCAGAGATTTGCCTCTGTGTTACTGATCGAGTCTTTGCCATTTTACGGTAGGCCTATAATCAGCTTTATAAGTGTAAATATAAAGGCAGAAGCAGAATAATTTTGCATAATTCCTCTGAAACTGCTGAGAACCAAGAAGTTCAGGGTAAGGCGATCACACATGAGGTCCCCTGTGGTCATGTGACTCTCACTGCAGTGGGTGGGAGAGGTCCCCTGTGGTCATGTGACTCTCACTGCAGTGGGTGGGAGCAGGTTAACAGCAGCGGGAGATGGTGACAAAGGGACTCCCCACCCATGGCACGGCCTGCTCCTTCAGATTCCTGAGGAGGAGCTGCAAGTCATGTCACATCCCAGAGCGAATCGGGGATGGAGGTATGCATGTCTGATGGGGGGGGGGGGGGGGCAGATGAGCACTGAATGCGAGAAAAATACATGGAAGGAGCAGAAAGAGTGCGAGCTCCCCCCGCCAGATGTGCCTCAGACCTTTAGGAAAGACACAGACATGGTGAGACTATTTTGGAGCCGCTCGCACTGTCATGACAGTGTTTCCCAGCATTCCCATCATGGCCCCTGTTCACTGGGAGGGAGAGAAAAGCTGTGGGAGTGGGGAAGCAGGCAGTTCTGGAGCTTTAAAGTCTAAGTCAGATCCCAGCCGCCCAAAGTCAGTGAGGGATGGGGCTGGATCTGAGCCTGGTGCCCCCCCCAACCCCGCACTGCCCCCCCCTGCCCCGCCTACTACACAACTCACATGGGAGTCGCTGATATTCTAAACAAACACAAGCACTCTGTGTGTCCCTCTCTCTCGCTCTGCTTTTTATACAAACACACACACACACACACATTTCCATTCATTTCTGTGGGCATAACCCTAATCTCAACAATGACAGCCATAACCCCTACCCAGCCCTAACCATAACTAACCAAACAAGATACAAGACTTTCGGCATATTTAGTTTTGTGATTGCAGTTACAAACATTTATAAATCTTAGTTTCCCATTGTGGGAACTGAAGAACTGAAAAAATGGTTCCCACAAGGTCACAATACCAGGTTTTTATCACGCTGTGCCAACATCTGGTCTGCAGAAAGGCAAATATCAAATGCTGACAGTTATTTATTATAAGGAGGATTGGGGAACCAAATGAAAGGAACGATAGACACAGAGGAATAAACAGAGGAAGTGAGAAATACGGAGGGAGGAGAGAGGAATTAGGAAGAGGGAAACTCAAAAGGTGAAGGCAGCTGTGGGGCTCGGCCCTGTCATGTGACTGCCAGCAGTCAGGCTCGGCCCTGTCATGTGACAGCCAGCAGTGGGGCTGGGCCCTGTCATGTGACAGCCAGCAGTGGGGCTGGACCCTGTCATGTGACAGCCAGCAGTGGGGCTGGGCCCTGTCATGTGACTGCCAGCAGTCAGGCTGGGCCCTGTCATGTGACTGCCAGCCCCCCAGTGAGAAACAGGGCTTCTTTCAAGCTGTCAATGATCATATGTTCCACCTTCAGCCATCTGTCACATTCCGATTTAGAGCATCACAGGCAGGGAAACCCAAGGGCTGGTGTCATGCTTTCTGTCAGGTCCTCCTGTCCCTCTGTCAGGTCACAAAGACACCATCATGATAAATAATCACCTGGAAGTGATTGACCTCCATCAGCAGCATCACCTGGTATGAGAGTCACCCTGAGGAAATCTTCTTGTCTTTGTTTATATGCTGCCATCACGCTCAAGTGGAGAGCTCTGTTTCTCATCCTGCACATACAGAAGTACCTTCACTTATCATGAGCTGAAGTCTCCTTTCACATAGACGTAAATACCAGCCACATGAGTCTTATCCAAGTAGCAAGGCTGGAGGCAACAGGGGTTATTTCCAACATTCCTGCTTGGTGTCCCTGGTAATATCTGCTTTGCATGACTTATCCTCCTGACATGCATGGGTCACAGCTTCAAAATGCGCTCCTGAGATAACATGCACTGGGATAACATGACTGAGATGGAACACAATATCATGAACAGCCTGTAAACGTAGCCAAGGTGCGGCGCTTTGCAACAAACTGCTTGCACATGGTTTAGCGACAAGGCAGGAAGAGGCTGGGAATCCTCACAGAACAATCTGGCAACTGACTGTGAACTGAGCCAAGTGAGTGTGAGAGGGAGGGCGATAGGGGATTACCCAGAACTCCTCTGGAAACCGACCGTGAACCATGCCGAGAGGGACGGAGAAGAAGTGGGTGAAGCGGTGAACTTTTCCAGAGAACACACAGACCCATAAGCAGCTCTGGTACCAATTTACACTTTCAGAACCACAGGCCAAAATGAGCTCACTGTGAGCAAACAACAACCAAATTAAAAAGGCGCAAAAACAGAATCAGGCTTATGGCAGATGGAGACTGATTTGCCTTGTTCTGATTTTTTCTAGGCAGTCTTAACATTTGAATGTAAAAAGGGTGGGAAAAAGAGGGAAAACAAAAGAGAGTGAAGGAGAAGGAGAGGGAGGGAGAGGAAAGGAGAGAGAAAATGCAATGAAAGCAAAGAAGAAGAGGGGAAAATGTGTATGTAAAAGAAGGAGCAAGGGAATAAAGGGAGAAGGAAGGAGGGAGCTAGAAAGAGGGGGGATGTGGGAATGAACAAACGGAGAGTGGCTGAGCGCAGGACTTTCTCTGGAGAAGAAGAGGGAAGCCAGCAGTGAGAAGCTGGTGAAGAATTTGTGGGGTCAGGAGGTACAGCCCAGCGAGACCCGGTGCACTGCCAAAGACCCAGCATATTGCCAGAGATCCGGCGCGCTGCCGGAGCCCCGGTGCACTGCTGGAGTCCCAGTGCACTGCCAGAGTCCCAGTGCACTGCCAGAGCCCTGGCACACTGCTGGATCCTCTGTGCATTGCCAAAGACCTGGAAGCCCTGCACACTGCCAGAGCCCCGCCGCCCTGCTAAAATCTCTGCACAGTGCCAGAGTCCTGGCACACTGCCAGATCCTTGGCACATCATCAGAGAGCTGGACCCCAGCAATGTTCTGCTTTGCACTTGGCACACTCTGGAGACCCCAGTGGCAGCATCCTCCAGTTCCTGAGACCACAGAAGCAGCTAAACCCTTTAAAGGGAACCTGAAACACATAATAGGGGCAGCATGTGGCTCTGTGAGTTAAGCCTCTGTGCCTGTGATCAGAAGGTTGCCAGTTGAAGCCCAGCTTCAGTGCATCTGCAGGTCCTTGAGCAAGGCCCTTAACCCCCAGCTCCCTGGGTGCTGCAACAGGTGGCTGCTCTTCACAGCCAAGTTGGGGGAGGCATAAAGAGAATTCCCCCACAAGTATCAATAAAGTATGTACATATTATTATTAAGTTGGATTGCCACTCTCAATACCCTTATACAATTAACCTTGTCAGTGACACATAAACTAGGCAGGTAGCGTTCTCCCTCCACAAACCCTTAAAATTTATGTTAGGTAGGCATGTATGCCAATGGGACAGTAATGTTTTAAACATTGGTATGAAAGCTGCCCTGCAGGAGAATGAGCCTGGCAGCTAACAATACCCCCCCCCCCAAGGTCGTGGAAGATGGGCGAAGGCCAAGGGGGACCCATGCCACCAGAGCCTGCTGGCAATCTGGCTCTGCCAGCAGTCCCCAGCCCCCAGCCCCCAGCCTCCAGTCCCCAGCCCCCAGCCTCCAGACTCTGTCTCCGGAGAGGAGGGCCTGGCTGTGGGGGTCACTGGAATAGGTGTTCCCTGGCCAGGAGGGCCCTCTGAAACCTCTCTAAGCCGCGCAAGAAGAAGGGTTGGCGACTGAGGGCATCTGTCTCACCAGCTTCCACCAGCAGCTAGCCAGCCAGTGTTTCACTTTTTTGACACTCAGTTTTCATTACAGTACCCCTGTTCACGTTGCAAACTTTATTTCCCTTTTATGGAAGTAAATCTGTGTCATCACCTCAACCTCGTATTTTTCCATGTGAATTCGGTCCATCGAATTTCCGATGTATATTTCCAATGCATAAATATTCAATGTTAGAATTTCAGTGGTATATAAAATTCAAATTGTGATGACACAGATTTACTTCCATACCCTTTGCTCTGTTTTTTTTGCATTTCATTATTTGGCCTCTTTTTGACACTGTGCGGGTGGGAGGGGCTTTGTGAAGTGGTGGGAGGGGCTTTGTGAACTGGAGGGAGGGGCTTTGTGCAAGTATCTGTTAGTGCTCTTCTGCCGACAGAGAACCTGTTGCGTTCCAGTTTGTGAACCTATTGTTGAACAGTTCAGCAAGTTTCCACCAAAATAAAAAAAGATTCAGAACCAAAAGACTGGTTTGCGTTCAAAACCAAGAAATAATTTAAAAAAGAGAACTAATGGTCTTATTCTACCTATAGGCGTGACACAAACATGGAAAGAGTGGTGAAAAATGTACTCAGCTTTCATACTTAAAGTAAAAGTACAGATACAACACCAAAATGTTATACAGTATATACCAAATGTTTTATTCGGTGAGAACAAAAGATTGGTACCAAATTTAATAATGAAGTATAAACATTTCATGGGCTGGAACTTTGAGATGTCTTATAAGTAGTGAGTAACATGACAAAATCCATTGTTGTCTACTACAGAAAATGACTGATCATCCAATGTAATCATCTCATTGTTTCAGTGGTTGTGTTGTTAATTTTTGAGCTGCTAATTTTGAATATTGTTAATTTAATTTTAATTCTTGACCAGCGATATTGGTATGTTAACCAAAAACCCGTGCATTTCTACATTCTGTTTGTTCTATCATCATAAAGACAATACATAATGCTAAATAGTA